TCTGTAGGGATCGGACCTGGCAGATGTCGCCCCTGCTGCAGCCCAGTGGGTTTCCAGAGCCCCATCTCTCTCTGCCTGCCACGCTGAGTTTCTCGGACTTCAGCGTCATGAGATCTAAAGTGGCCCTGGTGTTTCTGTGAACGCCGGCATCATGGAGAGAAGCCTGGCACCAAGGGCTGTGTAGGAGGCCTGGGCGGTACACACGGTTAAACGCCAGCCTAGGAGCCCAAAGGCAGGCTGTCTGAGCCCACCCTGGGGTGCCGTGCAAGGAACGCCTGGCAAGCTTCTCCTGAGCGGACGCAGCTTGGCAAACTCAGCACACTGGCCAGGGTGTGTGGTGCGTCAGGATTGCCTCCACCAAACTAAAACACCAGACACACTGCCATCGAACAGGTTCCGACGACTCGGAGCGACCCTGTAGGGCAGGTCAGAACCACGCCTGTGGGTTTCCAGGCCAGTGAGACGGTGTAGATGGTCTCCTCTTTCTCCCTCAGCAGCAGGGGGGGTGGTTTCAGCCCGTTGGCCTTGCGGCGAGCCGTGGAACGTGGAACCACTATGCCACCAGGGCTCCGATCAGCTCGACGGCAACCAGTCGTCACAACAGTGGCTGTGTAACAAACGCCGTGAATGTTGTCGATGCCACCGAATCTCACATACTCAGGACCGTTGGAGGGAGCCCTGGTGGCGCCGTGGTGGAAAGGTCCGCAGTTCAAGTCCACCGGCTGCTCCGGTGGAGAAAGATGAGGCTGTCTGCAGTGGCAAAGATGTCCCGTCTTGGTCCCCTAGGCAAGCAGTTGTCCTCTGTCCTGGGTCGCTCTGAGTGGGCACCAGCGGGGGGAAGGTGGTGGTGGTGGTGGTGGTGATCCTTTTGTTGCCAGTCTCACTGGGTCAGAAATGGAAACTCGGGGGGTCTAGAAAGTAAGTGTCCATTGATTGACGTCCTCCCATCGAAAACAAAAAACAACCAACAAACCGACTTGGACCACACAGAAAAAGACAAGTCCGATTCCCAACATCCAGCACAAACCTTGCTAGCCCCTTTTGTTGATTTCTGGGCGGTGGGATCGTTTGGGGAAGTGCCTCTTCCAGCACGTCTGAACGTGGGAGCTCAGGCTCAGATGGTCCCATGAAGTGGCCTTGCTGGCCCCAAGTGCTGGCCCAGGACAGCTCGCAAGGGGGAGGTTGAACGTGACTGAGGCCTGTTAAAGTCCTCAGGTAGCGCTGTGTTCATGGCTTAGAAGACAGCCAGACTTGGGGTCTGCGCACCCCATGGGCCCAGGACTCCGCCGGGAGAACGGTGGCCATCACGTTGCCTGTCTGGGGTGAGAGTGGCCAGGGCGAGGGGACAGGCTTCGATGTCTTTATCCTGTGCAGAATGGCACACGGGACATTTGGGTGTGGCTCCTAGGTACTCCGTGGCACTGACCGCTGCTTCTGTCCCCTGTTTTACAGATGCCTTCGTGAACAGCCAGGAGTGGACGTTAAGCCGGGCCGTCCCGGAACTCAAAGTGGTGAGTGGTTCCTTTGGGCTCAGGGGATGCTGTCTGTTTTCGCTGCAGGAGTCGCGTGGGGTTGGCTCGTGTGAGCACACCCCAGGTGACCTGAGCATGTCTCAGACCTAGAAGGCCTGGTTCCTAAGATGTCACACCACGCGCGGTCAGGTGCAGCTGCCACTGGGTCTGGGGAGCTGAGCAGGACTGTGGAGGCTGCATAGCTGGAGTGTGCAAGGGGGCTGGGGAGGCGGGGAAGAGTTTTGTGGTCTTTCTCTCTCTTACCTTCGCTGTCTGTCCCTGCATTTCTTCCCCCCTTTCTTATCCCTGCCCCCACCCCCACCGCCTCTCTTTCCCTCTCTATCTAATGAACACCACAACACACATAAACACGGGCTTATTTGTGCTTTGAATGACCTCATGGGAGGTTTGGATGAGGAGGCATGAAGCTTTGGTATTCATCATTTACACACACACACACACACACACACACACACGTGCGCGCGACCATTACAAAGCATTACCATTCCAGTCTACCACGACCGAAGAGTTTGCTTTTGTTACAGATGTCTAAGGGCTCTATCAATCACTTAAAGCTTGAGTGTGGCTCCTGTGAGACATGATGGGTCTGTCGCAGCAACACCTTTGGTTGTTAACCACTGCCGGCCCCGCCTGGCCCCAGGCTGGAAGGACCCTTGACTGGAAATACATGCCCTTCCCAGCCCCTTTCCCCCCCGCCCCCCCACTCCCTCACAAGCTCTCTGAGGGCCGTTGTACTGCATACCGCTGTCGTACATAACACGCACATACCTTTGTAAGCATGTGAAGGGGCTTCAAAAAGCGTGTGGGGCAAAGGAAGGAAAGATCATGGAATTGTTCCAGGACCTGTATGAAGCCCTGTGTTCTTGCCCAGGCTTGTGTGTGTTTAACGTTCTCTGGCTGTAACATGGGGTCAGATGAATGTGAGTGTATGTGTGTGCACGCACACATGCACGGAAGGCCCCCGTGACTGGACGGAGACTACGTGTCTTCCTTGGGCC